GAGCAACACCCCAGTGGCCCGAACGCCTGCTCACCTGTAGCCCTACTCAATTTCAGGGCCATCGTCTGGCCCAAAACTAGAAATCCTACCCAATAGTAGTGGTTAAGTCTTTTTCTCCTATTGGATTGTAAATTCTTTGTAAGCAAGGGACTATATTTTATTCCATTTTGTATTCAGCACAGCATCTGACACAGAGCTTTGCACATTTTTGAGTTTTAAGTATTTGGCAATGGGTGAGAAAATGTTCTGTATCTTCATTAGTGTCAGTCGCATGGTTGGATTTTTAGTCATCGTTCTCTGTTTCTTATTCAGATGGGTTTGGGTTTAAATTTCTGTCCTACCAATCACTAGTGGTGTTAACTTGGGCAAATTCCTTAACTCAGCCTCATTTTCAGGGTTGTTGTAAGAATCTGGAATTAAATATTTAAAGTGTCTGGCAGCTGCCATTATTATTATTTTGCTTGTCTTCAAAGCAGAAATTTCCTGGCTTGTAGTTTATGAATTCACAGTTGTGAGCTCTTGTGCTTTTTATAGTCATGTTTCCATTTGAAAGGTTTAACTCCTATTATTTAAGGCTGGCTTCAGTGAAGGGTTGCTATTTGACCTGAATCTTGAAGGATGAGTAGATACTTTAAAAACATAAATGGATGGAAAGGTATTTAAACAGAGGGAACAGTATGTGCGAACACCCAGGGTTATGAAGGAGTGACATGTAGGGGAAGCTGACCACGGCTCAAGTGGGGGCATAGGTACTGACGGTCAATGGACAAATCCTTTGGTAGCTAAGTGTGTGGGTGGACAGGAGCCAGAGTGCACAGGCATTGTCTGAGATGCTAGATTTGGGTCAGAAGGAATGGGGTCAGATTGGTATTTTAGCAAGGTTCTTCTTTTCTTCATTAATTTTCTATAAGTTTTCAATGAGTCTATGAACAAAATATTCTTCCGTTTTGATTTTTTGAAACAGGGTCTCACTCCGTCACCCAGGCTGGAGTAGCGCAGTGGCATCGTCTCAGCTCACTGCAGCCTTGAGCTCCGGGCCTCAAGCCATCTTTCCACCTCAGCCTCCCAAGTAGCTGGGGGTTACAGGTGACTGCCACCACGCCTGGCTAATTTTTATGTTTTTGTAGAGACAGGGTTTCACTATGTTGCCCAGGCTGGTCTTGAACTTCTGAGCTCAAGTGATCCACCCACCTCAGCCTCCCAAAGTGCTGGGATTACAGACATGAGCTACCATGCTTGGCTCACACACACACACACACACACACACACACACACACACATATATATATAGATAGATAGATAAAATTAGATATATGTATATAATTATATACATAGATATATATATAATTAGATATATATTAATTTTATATATAATTTTATATAATTTTTATATTTAATTAGATATATATTTTTAATTAGATTAATGGCTGGGTACAGTGTCTAACGTCTGTCATGCTAGCACTTTGGGAGGCCAAGGTGAGTGGATCACTTGAGGTCAGGAGTTCGAGGCCAGCCTGGCCAACATGGCGAAACCCTGTCTCTACTAAAAATACAAAAATTGGCTGGGTGTGGTGGCACACACCTGTGGTCCCAGCTACTCAGGAAGCTGAGGCAGAATTGCTTGAACCCAGGAGGCAGAGGCTGACAGTGAGCTGAGATCATGCCACTGCACTCCAGCCTGGGCAACAGAGACTCTTGTCTCAAAAAAAAATTAGATTCATGAACGTTGTGTGGCTAGCTCAGTCTCGCCTGCATCTCCTCTGCCCTCTTCGTCATGCTGACAGTTAGACATACTGAAACGTATTAAATGTTAACTTTTCCCAAGTTTTTCCATAACCTTTTCTTTGCCTCGGGGTTTTCTCAGCAGATTGAATCTATGTCATCTTTGGACATGAGCGGCAGCAAATGAATGCCAATCATTATTTGTATACTCTCCTTTTTGTGCTAATGTAACTCACACCCAGCCAGATGTTTTTGAAAAGCCTTGAAGTGTGTAAGCAGGTTCAGCAAATAGGGTGGCAAGCGTCACTGCTTCTGTTTTCAGTATTGTTTTGTGTCTTGTAAATGAGCTGAGGTTTGGGGAAATGATGGAAAGGCGGCACCTTCTGTTCCTGCTTTCCCTTGGGCATCCCACGGAATGTTGGCGTCGGGCGGGGCAGGTGTTTCTGCCCATGGTCCTGGGCATACCCGCATGGATGCTGCCCATCGTCCTGCCCATACCCACGTGGCGTCTGTCCATCATCCTGGCCGTACCTGGGCAGCAGCTGCCAGGCTTTCCTCTTTGTCCATGCGCTGTCCCTGGCTCCTTTTCTCTGCCAGCCTCTCTCATGCTGTTCCTCCTGAGAGGTCTTCCAAGTGCTTTTTTCCATCATTTGTGCTCAGCCACTCTACCATTGTTCTTCCTGTCTGGTTCTCTTTAATCCAAGCCCACACCTTTTCAACTCCATATCCTGAGTCAAGTATTTGAAAGCTGTTATTTTATGTTAATTAGAAGTTCTTTTTCCAGCCAAGAAGGCTTGTTCAAAATGGTTCTCCCAAGCTGAGGCTTAGAGATACACTCTGGCATTCTGTCCTGTGGGTAGTTAAAGGAATCATGGTTCATTGCTGTTAGAGGCACCTCTCTGCCAGCTGGGGGGGCAGGCACCTCCTATTGGGGGCAGGCACCATTGGAGGGGAGTTCATGGTGTGGCCCCAGAGAGCTCTAGCCTGGACAGCACCTGCATGGCTTCCTGGACTCCCCACAGTCCTCGGTGGGACCTCCCCTTGCCACAATTGCTTGGCAACCACTCCTCACCACCCCCCAACCCAATGGTGACCTATTTGGCAGCTTCTCCTTCCTTTGTCAGCTCTCCCAGTTGACGCCAGTTTGGTGGGAGATTCTGATGGAAAAGTACTCCCATCATATTCTGGACTCGGGTAGACTTCAGCAGGAGTTAGTTTCTGGTTTCCTTAAATACCCTCCCCGGGCACCCTGAGTGGCTGCCGTGTCTTTTAGGCAGTCTTAGTTAGGCTTCAAAAGCATTTTTGCTTCTTGAGATGTTTTTGAGCAGAAGCTAAGCCCTATTCTCACATCTGGCCTCAGTCTTTGTGCCCACCCGCTTGTAGATTGGGGACTATACCCTGCCCTTTACCTGGACCGTTGTCCCATCATTCCAGGCTTCTGCAAGCCCAGGCATGGGGAGACTGCGGCCCTGGTCCCACTGGGAGCACCACACCGCCTTGGACTTCCTTATTCCATTTGGAGGGGGTGCTTGGTGTTAACCCATTCCCAAGCTTGGGCAGTGATGGGTTAGGACCACTTTCATTCCACCTCTCACAGATGAAAAAGAGGCTTTCCTCCTCTCAGGTGCCTTTGAATGAGGACATCACATCATGCACGGTGAAGGAATTCTCCTGGATATTTAATTGAAATCTCTAAAATAATTTGCATTATCTTCTGTGGTTTATAGAAAAAGTAGTGGGTGAGTAAATGCGGATTTAAGGCCCATCAAGCTGAGAGCACAATTCTAGGAACTGGAGGTGAGGCTACAGAAAGGCAGAGAGAGATATGAGGGCTCGTGTCCTCGGGAAGAAAATCACATCCAGAAAACAACCAAAGGGCACCAGAGCCTCAGTGTCCTTAGGTAAGGACTGGTGAAGAGTGGTGGACACCACCTGCCAAGACAGCTTCTTCTGAGGACCTTGACAGCATGTGAAGTGCCAAACACAAGGCCTGGCACATGGGACACCTTCAGTCAGCAGGGGCTCCTCCCTCTCTTCTTCCTCTGCTTATTATTAACCACAAACACCGGCTAATATGGCACATACTGAGTAGAGAAGATAAGGGGGTAAAACTGGTATTGGCGGAAGACTCCCTGAGGTGGGGCTTTAGTTGGATTTGGGAAGAATTAAAGAAAGATGTGCATGAGTAGAAGTTACAGTTGAGGACGTGGCATGTATAGCCATAGAGTTGTGCCAGAAATGTAGCATTTGGCCTGTGAGTTATATTGGCAGAAGTAAAGGGTCCGATCAGATGAGATGGTGAAAGAAGAGTGGCTAGTTGGTGGATTGCCTTAAAGGACTAGATACAGAATTTTGAGTTATTATATTATAGACAGTAAGGAAGGGATCATTGTAGTTTCTCAAGGTGGGAACAAAAACGAATTTGGAGATCTTCATAATAAGATATCTGAGAGCTGGGTAAGTCAGAGGACAAGAAGACCACCAGGAAAAAACCTGGGCTCATACTGGGACTTTCACTAGGATAGTGGCGACAAGTCCAGGGTCCAGGAGAGCTGATGTCTATAGGCACTCAGGCTGATGTCCACAGAGAGACATAAGTAGAATCTGGAAATGGCATTACCCTGAGGGGCCACGAACGAGAGAACATTTTGAGCATAGCGCTCAGAAGTTCTGGATGGAGGGTGAAGCAGTTGATGGTAACAAAAATAGGGAAAAGAGACCTAAGTGATCGCAGAACGAGCCCTGGGCCCTCAGTAGCAGGGCTGGGGAGATGCAGGAGCTGAGGGCCTACGCCAGAGGCTGCCCTTCTTCATGGGCCTTCCGTTCAGCCTTTCAAAGCTCACAGGATGGTGAGCATCATTGTGGAGGGTAATCTGTAGATATTTATATCAACTGAGTCATGTCTCCTGTGTAATTCTGTAAACAAACCAAGGTTTGCTTTTAATGAGTTTTTGAGGTTTCACAGATAAATTGGTTTGGTTCTAAAAAGCATGCTCTTGATACATTCCCTGTGTTCTGAATAAAATTGGCCACTCTGGTACTTTCAGCCCGACCGCAGGGAGTCATATCCTGCTTGCATCTGCCTTTGTGTGAGACCTATGCAAAGCAACACCTTGAGCCAGGAGTTCTGGAATCTCGCATTGCTTGGGCCACGCATGTGGATGTTCCCTTTCCGAAATGAGTATAGTTGCTTCTGCAGCTAAGCCCACCACTTGTCTTGTGGAGATGGGGACTCTGTGGCTTGAGCTGTGGTGGTTCTCTCTGTCTCCCCACTGCAGACTACTGTTTTCCAAAGTGAAGTTGGAGTCGCTCTGCCGGGGCCCAGACGAGGCGCTCCTGACTTGTAAGCACATGCTGCAGATATGGAAATCCTGCTACAACCTCACCAACCCCAGGTAAGAGGCCAGCAGGGCCTGCTTTGCTTGGCTTTTGCATGGGTCCCTGCCTATCAGGGCCCTCTCTGACTGGCATTTAGCAGGCATTCACTCTGTCACCCCTGTGTACCTCCAGGTCCCCACAAGTGGCAGATCATAGTGGTGGAGCTTCACACTCTGTTTTAAGGGCCATTTTCCCAGTGGCTGATGAAGCCCCCAGATCCTGGGGTTCTTTAGCTTTTACCGCCATAGTGACCCACTGGGCTCAATTCACAATGGAGCTTTATCCAGTTTCTCTCCACCACCTATTTACCTAACTCTTTTGACAGATCTTAAGTCTTACCTTTCTGGCAATTTATGTATAGACCAGTCACTTATGTGTTCCGGATGGGGTTCCTGCCGTAATGTTTAAAAGACCTGCACAGACAACAGACCGAATGCTACTAAGAAGAGAAGTGGCTATTGGCATGATCAAATATCATTGTGGAAAAGTTAAAATCATGACTCACACAACTGTAAAATCAACACAGGTCAAGATTTTAGTTACCTTATTAACTATTTCAGGAACCAGAAAAATGTTAAGACTTATTCACAGAAGAGTTCGAGAACAGATACACATAGGCAGGAGTGCTGAAATGATTTGCAAATAGATACAAAAACAACATCCTGTAAGATGATGAAAGATACTGTTTCGGGTTCTTACTACAGGGTGATGTCAACTATCTCTCCCTCAAACAAAATTCACTTGCCTTATTATCAGTTTTCTGCGGGTTAATATCTATCCCTATGGTGCTGCCAAGCAGCCCAGTCAATGGGAAGTGCATCAATGGTGCCTACGCCTTTAGAGTCAAATAATCCGGAAAAGGTCTGCTGGTCAGCCCCCAACATTCCACAGACGGACACCTAATAACCTATCTGCCCGTTTCCAAGTCTTGAACAGTTTCCCTTGTGTGTGTTTAGATTACTAAGTGAAGGTCATTTAATGAGAAGGAACATAGTGATTCAAGTGAATTCGCACAACTGCTTATAACACTCAGAGTATTTTTCACCTTTATAGCAACGTGTCTGGGCAGTTTATATCATACTTTTAAGAGTCAGGAGCCTAAAAAAGTGTCACCTAAAATGTAAATGAGCACTAAGGGTGAGGCGGGCAGTGGGCTGGTGGCCGTGGTTTGCAGGGACCAGCAGGGAGGGAGGGCTATGAGGCGCAGAACAGAGATGGTTCCCTGTGAGATTTCATTTTACAAAAGCTTCTGCAGTTAAAAAGAGATGTTCAAAGTCAGGACCCTGTTAAGGGGATGGACGCCCTGGAAACTGACAGACAGACCTGTGACCCCAGGCCCTGCCGGCAGCACACCTGGAATGCAGAGAGCTCTGCCTGGAAAGCAGTGTGCTGTCCAAGCCCTGCCCCGCCCACCCCCAGGCAGCCCCAGGCCCCCGCCGAGCTGCCAGTCCCCTTCCCAGGCGCAGGAACGGCAGGGCGCTGTGCTGCCGGGCGCATCCACCCTTCGCTTGGTGAAAGGTAATCATGAGACTAGCCTCTTCCCTTTTGTGGATATGTTCTCAAAATAAAGATCATTTTAATTTTTTAAAAATTCTACATTTCTAAGTCTGGAAGCAAAAATAGAAACTGTCCATATTTATCTCCCCCGAAAGCCCCCACTCCTGGCCTATGAAATCTTCAGGATTTGGGGGAGTCTTTGCCTACGAAACAGCTAGCAGGAGATGCTGCCCAGGCAGGTTGCCTCGGCCCCGGAGCTCATTCCTTTGCCTGTACCCCCTTTAGAAATGAAAAAATAAACCCATCAGCTTCATGTTGCCAATTTTCCCTCAGTTCTCCACAGCTCTCCCACCTCCCCACATTTCCTCCCACTTAGCAACCAAGAATATTGAATGTGAGGAGAAAAAAATAGCAGAATTGGAAAGCTTTTTAAAAATACTTAACCAAATGCCTGGGCTGTGGCCATACTTCCTCCGTTTCCTGAAGGTTCCTTCAGGGCCAGAGTGGGGAGGACCCTGGCTCCAGGCAGTGTCTGGTGGGGACTGCCGGATGGGGTGGGCAGCGGAGGCCCCACTGGTCAGTCTCCATTCCTCCTCCAGCTCCCCACAAAGCCTTGAGGGAGGGAGGGGTGGTGTATCCAGCTGCCCCTTATTAAGGAGTGTCCTGTCTGGTTCTTTAACTTGATTTTCTCTGGGATATAGATCAGTGTTTCTCCTGTAGCCCTTATCATTGTGTGAATGTAGACATCCTCCCCAGTCTGCTCGGTAAGAGGTGACCCTGGCAGCGACTCAAGCCTGAAGGAAGGGCTGCGTCTTTCAGGGCATGCCTGTCGGCCCTCAGAGTGAGGCCGCGGTGGCTCCAGCATCCGAGGGGCTGGGATCAGGGCATCCAGGGTTTTGGAGGAGGGTGGAATCACATGCACAGGCACCTAAGAATCAGGCCCTCTTAAAAATAAAACAAAATGAAAACTGAGCAGAAAGCATTTTGGCCGGCGGCATTTGGCTTCTCCCCGGAGCTGGTCCATGCTGACTGCCCGGCTCACGCACCCTGGCTTCTGAGCATGCTGGCTTGTCATGGGGCCCTCTGCTGTAGCTGCCAGTTTCCCAGTCTTCCCCACCCCCTTCCCGATCCACCCCAGGCTCTGCACAGGCCTCTGGGGCAGTGAGACAAGGAAGCTCTGGGCAGTAGCAGGGAGTGAGTGGCCAAACTGAGAACAGACCCTAGCTTCATATTCTCAGCCACCCGTTCCCTCTTCTCGATTTTTGCCTAAAGGGGGAAAAAAAATTACACCGAGCCAGTCGCTAAACTGAGCATTGGAAAACTTGCAAATAGCTTTCCACCTGCCGTTGGAGATGTGTCTCTTGCTGTGAGCAAAATGGTGGGTGGCATTCTCTTACATTTGGCGAGGTGTTTGTCATTTCAGAAGCCTGGATTCTATTTCCCTCGGTCTGCAGTTTTGCTTGCATTTAGGATAGAAATCTGTCTCGTGCTTTGTCTCCTCTCTCCGGGTGAAGTGTAAGGCTCCCTCAGTCCTGGTGCTTATTGACTTGGCCACTCAAGAGTGTGAATTCTGACCAGAATCTCACCAAAAGGTCCCAGCCGGCTCCCTGAACTGAATCTCAGAGCACTTCAGCCAGGGATGGTAATAACCATGTTTATTGAAACTTCTCTGTGCCAGCACTGCACTAGGCTTGTACTTGGATGTGTTATCTTCAGTCCCTGCATTAGCCTTGCAAGATAGCTACCATGACTTCCATTTTACAGAAAAGAAAATTGAAGCTAAAAGTGGCTAAAGAACTTGCCTAAGTTTTTCCAGTTGAATAAGTAGCAGAACAGTAATTCAGCCCCAGGCCTGGCTCACATCAAAGCTCTCTCCACACTAGCATGCACCTCTCCTGAGCTGACAGTGTTTCTTTTCATGTTCTTTTGTTAACTGCTTCCTTCCCGCTCCTGTCACTGCTGCTTGACCCATCTCCATCACGCATCCAGATGATCCACGCATCCAGATGACATCTCCAGATGATCCAAAGTCCTAATTCAGTTACTTGCCAACAAATAGCATTTAAACACACACATAGTCACATACCCTTTTTTTTTTTGCCCTAACCTCAGTTAGGAGTCAGAGATCCCATGCCATCCTCACAGTCAGCAGCATTTGGGCGGAGCTTTTCTTTTTATAAAACATGTCCTCATTCCATCTTTGAAGCAGCCCTATAAAATGGGCAAAGGCCGTGTGATCTCATAACCATTTTACTGATGAGATAATTGAGGCTCCAGGATATTAGGAACTTACCTTGATTCTTATAATCCAGGCCTAAGAGGCCTGGAGAGAAACGAGAGTTCCTCTCCCATCTGCCTCTGCCCTGATTTCCTAGCCGAGGCCCTTCTCTTAGGTGCAGTATTTACTGTGTGCCAGGCACTGTTCCAGGAGCTGGGAAGAGGCACAGCTGAGACAGGAGCTCCAGGGTTCTGACTTCTAGCCCACCCTGCCGCCACCAAGTCACTTCTGTTTAACCTCTTCGTGGCTGTGGAAGATAGAGCATTTCCAAGAGAGGCTTCCAATATCCAGTATAACTTTAACTCCCGTTACAATTTACTCTGATTTTTCAGTCACAATAGGGAATGGAAATCCCTGCATGTGCACATCTACGCGTGTGGAGCACCTCCCGCTTACTTACCATGGATTCGGGGGTCCTTCCCGTTTCCTCTTCCTCAACTAGCATCACTCACCAGGAGTGGTTTCTCTCCCTTCCTGCCTCCCTCCTTGGGAAGTGCTCCTGGCAGCCTAAGGGCCCAGCAGAGAAGAATTGAGGCGACTGGGCTATGAGGAGGAAATGGATGGTTCACAGAAGTGCCCAGGCACATGTGTCGCAGAGGGAGACAGGAAGGTGACTTTCCAGCTTGCCGGAGAGACTGGCCAGAGTGAGAAAGTTAGGGAGACTCAGGGTTGGCTGAGGCCTCTCCTTGCCTCTTGTCCCATATTCTAGGGGTCAAGTGCAAATCTTGATTGGTGAACACTCTGCACCATGTAAATGAAGAGCTAAAAATTGCTTCAGGCATCCAGTACAGTTCTCAGTCACAACTATCGAATTATTTTTATTTATTTTTTTTTTGAGACAGTCTCACTCTGTCGCCCAGGCTGGAGTGCCATGGCATGATCATAGCTCACTGCAGCCTGTCTCCAGGTTCAAGCCATCCTCTTGCCTCAGCCCCTCAGATAGCTGGGATCACAGGTGCACGCCACCATGCCTAGCTAATTTTTTAAATTTTTAATAGAGGTGAGCTCTTGCTATGTTGCGCAGGCTGATCTTGAACTCCTGAGCTCTAGCGATCCTCCTGCCTCAGCCTCCCAAAGTGCTGAGATTACAGGCATGAGCCACTGTGCCCAGCCCTAATTATTTTTGGAGAGAAAACGTTCAATGTGGAAACAAAAGCATCTCTATTTTGAATAGTTAATTGTTGCTTTTACACTGTTTTCAAAAGGAACTAGAGAAGACACACTAAGTTTGTGTCTGAATGCAGTGTCCCAGCTGGTGGAGGGAACGTGGATCCTGTGCCATTGTCCGTGGGTGACGTTCACAATTCAGATGACAGTTTTGTTTGGGGTTTCTGACATTTTACATCAGCTTCCCCATACTTCCTACAGTTGCACCAGAAGTCTAGGGATAAGTTGGCTGCAGGAATTGGCTGGCCATATTAACGTCAGATGTGTGTTGCAGGTACGTGGGGGTTTTTTGTTGTTGTTTTTGTGACAAAGTCTCACTCATGTCCCCCAGACCGGAGTGCAATGGCACGATCTTGGCTCACTGCAACCTCTGCCTCCCAGGTTCAAGCGATTCTCCTGCCTCAGCCTCCCGAGTAGCTCAGATTACAGGTGCGCACCACCATGCCCAGCTAACTTTTGTATTTTTTGTAGAGACGGGGTTTCTGTGTTGGCCAGGCTGGTTTTGAACTCCTGACCTCAGGTGATCCACCTGCCTCGGCCTCCCAAAGTACTGGGATTGCAGGCGTGAGCCACTGCGTCCAGCCAGGTATGTGGTTTTATACACACCTGGCATGTACCTAGAAGTTGTAAGTCTTCAGAATGCTCCATCTATGTGACCTTATTTCATCCTCACACAGTTCTGGATAGGACAATCATCCTGATCTTCATCTGACTGGGGAAGTCAGTGAGGCACAGGGAAAGCTACCTTGCCCAAAGTGGCCTCGTCGTAATGATAGCACTGAAACATGGTGAGATAGGAGACCTGGGCGATGATAACGTCTGAAACAAACCTCAGATTTGGTCCACCAAAAACCCAGGCAAATCCTTCCTTTGCAATGCCAGTACCTCATGGTGTGTCTTAGAATCCTGAAGGTGATGAATAATATGTCATCGTTTCACTGTATTTTGAGGCAAATCTTGAGAAAAACTCCTAAGTGGAGAGCCATTGCAATATTCAGATAATGCGTACTGAGTGGTACTTATGTGGAAATGCTACCTGGACAGACGCATGCTGGAAATAGTCTGTTGCGATTAAAGAGCATTTGCATGCACTTTTATGTTGTCTTCTGCTCAGAGACATTTATTGTTTCTCAGTTATGGAAACAATTAAAAGAGCAGTTTCCAGAAAAACATGGCTGGGATGATGTAATAAGTAGAGGCTGACAAATAGTCTGTCCTGAAGGAAGTTTCCTTCTGCTTCCTGTGGCTTTCTCTAATGTAGTTAGAGAAATCGCTGGATGTGGAAATTGCAGCCTGTAAACTGCATTAAGTTTCATGCCAAATCTTGTTTGTACTGCTTTAGCAACAGCTGCAGAAAGGAAGGAAATTGTGGCCCTTTATTGTAGAATGTGAACTTCTTCACAACAAAAAACTCACTCTTAAAGCCCCCAGACTGGAAAAGAAAACAGATTCAAAGAAAAGCATTGAAGTTTCAAACCTCAGGAGACAGATGTGATTCTTTTTGGAACTGTTTTGCTAGCATATCATGATACAGGAAAAAAGCAATAGTGTTTACTTACAAGCTTCCTAGAATTTAAAAAAGAAATCTATATTAGCTGAGATGCCTTAACCATTTCTCTCCCAGCTAGGCCCAACGTGGCCTCTTGTGTGACATTGCCAGATGAACAGTGCCACGCTTGTTTAGTAGGCACAAGCTGGAGAGGGGACTCAGTAGACATGGGCAGTGCAGGAGGCTGGTGGGAGTGGTGGTATGGAGGCCGCCACCAAGACCCCTCTGTGTTCTCTCCCACTCCCACGTCCCTATCAGCCAGGCTTCTCCAGCTAGGAACGCTAGACAGGGCTCGTACACCAGCAGGGAAGTTAACCACATGATGTAGCCCAAAGGCCTACATTCTAGGGACCCTGATCAGGCCTACATTCTGGGGATCCCCGATCAGGCCTACATTCTGGGGACCCCGTACATTCTGGGGAACCTGTTGAGGCCTTGTCTGTGATCACAACAGGGAAAGGGGGCCAGGGGTTCTTGAATCCAGCAGCTGCACCTTAAAACCATCTGAGGAGCTCTGAAAAATGTTGATCACCCCAGGAGTTTTGATTGTTCGGTCCACAGTGGGACCCAGGCATCCCATCCGTTTTTCAGAGATGCCCTGGGTGATTTTCCCGTGCAGCCCAGGTTTAGAAGCACAGGTATGGAGCATCGGTTCATGAAGACAACTCTTCATGGACGGCGTGTTCACGAACTCACTCTCTTAAGACTTCACTTTCTAAGGTTGCTAATGCCAATCAGTTTCCCCCCGTAAGGTGGATGAAAAACATAGCTTGATGTTTTCATTTTTGTGTCTTCTAATGATACAAAAGAGGCCAAAATTAGCCAGGATCTGTGGGTGTGGTTTATGCTGTGTTTGTGATATTGAACACTGAAAGGAATCCCAGCCCAGGCCAAGCCAGGAAGCAGGATGCCTCCTTCATAAGAAAGATGCTGAAGAACATAAAAAATGGGCCAAAGGTATTCATTGCCCTTCAGGAGTCAGTATTGGTGTCCTCTCTTTCCTTCCCTCCTACCACCTTGCAGGTGACTGACATTTATAGCTGTGTTTTGCAGTGATTCTGGACGTGGGAGCAGCCTCTTAGATAGAACCATTGCTGACAGACGACAGCTTAATACAATTACTTTGCCAGACTTCAGCGATCCCGAGACAGGTGAGAATAAAAGCCCAGCGGGGACGAAATGGTGTCACGGAGAATGTGGGGGCCTGGGACCGCATGCCATGGGATGAGACTGCTTGGGCTGGGGTTGGAGACATTTCTCACGCAAATAGTTTAAGCACTCAATTGAGGTGCATTTTCTCCAGCGTCTTTTTCAAGTGTTTGCTCACGGTGGGGACAGTCATAGGATTTGCCCAGCCCAGTGCTTTGAAATATATTTCCCCCTTTGCTCTTGGAACTTAAAATTTGAAGCTAAAACAAGGTGGTTTCTGTCCCTGTGTCTCCCTCTCTCTTTGGGTTTTAGTCCTCGTTGAAATCACTATTCACTTTCTAATCAGTTGCACCCGTAAACACACATATACCCAACACAAGACCCCACAGAGTGGCAGGTGGTTTCCCCTGTCCCCATGTGGAGGCCTGAGGCACTTCCTGGCTATGAGCAAATCTGCACACCTCATTGTGTGTGTGTTCCACATTTGCCTAAGTACAGGGGAGTGAGTTCATCTGTGCAGACCCCACAGCGGTGACACAGGTGAAGTGTCCCTTACCCGAAAGGCCTGGGACCAGAAGTGTGTTGGGTTTGGGAATATTTGCATAAACATGATGAGATATCCTGGGATTGGACACAAGTCTAAACACAAAGTCGGTTTATGTTTCATATCCACCTATATACATAGCCTAATTGTAGATAATTTTATATAATATTTTAAAGAACTTTGTTTAAAGAGACAGAGTTTTGACTGCATTTTGACGGTGGCCTATCACATGAAATCAGCTGTGGAATTTTCCACTTGTGTCGTATCAGCACCCAGAAACATCTGGATTTTAGAGCATTTCAGATTTTGGATTTTCAGATCAGGGATGTTCAACCTGGACCAACGATTCAGTGGTAATCTGGATGACTTGACAGACCCACAAAACATATAAGTTCACTCTTCTTTGGGCCTTAAAAATCATTCTAGAGCTTCATTTGGAACCTGCTCCTGTTCCTTCTCCCCCACCCACAGGGGACCATGTACGGCCTAATCTCTATCTGGGTATGCCTGGTCTTTTATGGGCTGGCTGCATGAAAGGGACCACGAGGTTCTTTTCTTGTCCTTGTGCCACATCCCAGCTCCTGCCAGAACCCTTCCAAAGAAAGCCCGAGGGCAGCCCTGAGTCCCACACTGCCACGGCTTGTCCCCTGGAAAAACCTATCTGGGTGGGATGAGAGAGATAGGGCCTTCGGGGGCCAGATATGATGCTCACACCAGGCCCACCCACAGCCGCCTCGCAGGCTGCATTTCTGCCCTAGGCTCCCTTCTACCAAATTTAAAGCCAGCTTGAGAAGTCAGATCCAAAGGTCCTGCGGCTCCTGGGTCCAAAGATTTTTAGGCGCTGGAAGCAGTACAAATTGAAAATTGGTACAGTTTAACCTGGCTTGCAGCCACTGCTTAAAATGTGGACTAACTGAACTATAGAGAAATTCACCCCTTGGAGTGACCTGACCACCCCGACCCGAGACAGGTTAGCAGTCATTGGTGGGCTTAGACTGCACACCAGGCAGAGACCCTGGCTGGAATAGCATAGCAGAGTTCTTCCTCGTCCCAGTTCCTGCCAGAGAGACCTGTCTAGGCCCCGTCATTGTGGGAAAGAGGTCAGGCTGTCAGGACTAGCCACTGCAAGGTGAGGCTCGGACACAGGGAGAGAAGAGGAAGTGAAACTCACTATAGCACTGGCAGCAATTTCTGCTGATTCAAAATAGCTGCTGTGGCTATCCAGCACTGTCTTCCCCCTTTTCTCCCTCCTAAGTACCCTGTGAGAACAGCTGCACTAAATTCAGACCCCCTTTCCTTCCAGCTGGCCTGGACCTGAATTACCCTGGAGGTCTCAAGGCTTTAATGCCACTCACATTGAGAACAGATAGTGTCAGAAAATGAATGAGGTCCTTGTTATTCATTCTTCCTGTTGCCCCTTGGGACATTTCCCCTAGCGTGCTCTAGAGTCTCCCATCTCTCAGATGCCATGGTGTTTAGGGGAGGTGTGTCTGTGTGACACAGTCTGGGGTGCCACTGTTCCCGGGCTGGGCCCCCCCCCCGTCTTCCTCCTCCCTCTCTGCTTAGTGTACTGATAGAGCCACTCTTTCTGGTGGGGCACCCATTCATTTCCAGAAAGCCTAGGTGTCTGGAGTCAGGACTGCGGGCTCCTGTGCCCTTCCTCAACAACAAGGGGAAGCCACAGCCTCCCAGACACTGCCACAGATGGTTTCATTCTTGTGTCATCCACGAGAGTCCCTCTGAGACTCCTGCTACCCTGCACTTCCCCCATCCCTCCCCAGGCAGCTACAAAATACTGATTTGCACGTTATCAATTTAACCAAGAAACCAGGAAATCAGAAAAATGGAAAGCCATTTTAGGAGGCCTTATCATATTTGTAAATGAGGGGTAAAACATTCTGAAATGACAGTGTAAATCAAAGAAACTTACACATTAGGAAGGCTTGCTTACAAATGAAAAAAATGCCTCCATCTTAATTAGTAAAGCCCAGTTGCCTATGACTCAGCTCATGGTACAGTCACAGAAGGGGCAGACGCTGTCATTCACACACCTGTGTGGAGAGCCTGCCTTGCGAACCACCCACAGATTGTTTATTTCTCTTACCTTGATTTGATTTTAAGAGGAAATACATTTACCTAATTCAAAAGCTAAAAACTAATTCACAAGGTGCTGTAGAGAAGTGTTGCTTCCATCCCTGCCCCTCCATTTTATCTGTTCCTAAAGAAAATCACATTTATCAGCGTTTTGTTTACCCTTCCAGTATTTTTTCACACAAACAAGCATATGTATCATTTCCTCTGCCCCTTTACATGAACGACCACACACTATATATGCGTTTGAGCACCTGCCATTTTGCACTTCACAGCATATCTGAAGATGCCTGCATACCCATCCGTGGAGAATTTCCTTATTATTTTTTACAGCCATATAGTATTCCATGACCTCTGGATTCTTACCCACCCAGCATGACCACAGTCATTTTTCTTCCCTTTGCCTTTACACAGTTTTCAGTTCATGTGCTAAAGGAGCCGGCTAATTTTGAATACCCACTGCAGCACTGCTCAACTCAAAAAGCAACTGGGCTATATAGAAAAAGAGAAAAGGATCTTATCTGAGGTCAGAATGATTCCCAGTGAAACAGAAGTGACCCTGAGATCAAATGTGGCCCGGGAGAACCCAGCCCTGGTGGGTGGCAGCTCATCAGCGCCATGCCCGACACTTAACTGCTTTTCTAAATCCCCTTTAAAGGGCACAGGCGTCCGACACCAGCAGAGCCCCGCGGTGTTAGCATCCGTGAGGGAGCACGGCCACAGCCATGGTGAACTTCCACCGTGGAGCGCCTGCCAACCCCGGGGCCCAGGCCCAGGGTCACCCACTGTGCAGACAGATTCCTCTGCCAGGACGCAAGTCCTCTTGGATCGGTTTTGTTTTGTTTTGTTTTCCCCCAGAACTACATTTCTTCTTCTTTTTTTTTTTTTTTAATTTCTATTATGGAAAAATTTCTAATATACCAGAACAGAGATACTAATATTCCCATTACCCACCAGCGAGTTTCAGCAATCGGCATTCTCCTTTCACCTCGCTCTCCTGTCCCATGCCTGCTTCTCCTAGAGTATTTTAAGGCAAGTCCCCAATATCCTATTTTGCCTGTTAGGATTTCAGGATATATGTCTAACTGATAAGGGCTTAAATATATATAACTACAATACTATTATTATATATCCTGGGTCCTTATGCAGTGCAGCCTCAGCGTTCGTGATTTTGGAAGTGGTTGGTTAACTAGAATACGGTTTCCTACCTCTGAAACTGTCCATATGCAGAGATGTGGAACAACATGAGGAGTCACCCACGTCCATAAGCTTTGAACTGACTGAGTCCACTGTAGCCAACAGAGTGGAATTCTGTTTTATTAAGCAGACGTGTCACACTAAAATAGCCCCATACAGAACATGAGTTCTCCTCAGGTATCACCTTGGGCGTCCCTTCCTCCCGCCTCTGCCATCTCATAGGCCCCAGCCAGTGAAAGAGGACTCAAATAGAGTGACAGTCTTTACTTTGAAGCTCTGAGTCATTGTCTTTTATTTGGAATAAGTTGGTAGTTCCTTAAATAGAGAATGGAAAAAAAATATTTTATTCCTTTGCCTTTAAAACAGGATATAGGGTAAGGGGATTTATGTTTGATAATTGGTAGATGTCACCAAATACCTATCCAAGTAAAATAAGTCTTTTCACTTGAAAGTCTGATCCATTTTGTTTGGGGAATTTTCTCATTGCAGCTGCAGTGGTCTTCCCATTGCCACGTGTTCCTCCAGCTATTAGACATGTAGGCGGCCGCACTGACTCTTTTCCCAAAGTGCCCAACCAGCACACCCAACCATAGACCACCCCAGAAAGCTTAGCGCCCCCTGCCATCATGCTGGGACCACCACATAGTGTTGCAACTCAGTACTCTGCACCTTGGAAAACCTTATTTTCAAGTAAACTGTATATAAGTGCTTCTCATAAAAAACAAATCTATGTAAAGTCAAGTCCTAACCCTTTCCAGTTGAAAAGCAAATTGTTTCCTCTCGAATGTTCTGGATATTGTAGGCCAAAGACGTATTATTTTCAGTGGATCACACTGCTGAATCTGTGCCCAGGTAAACCTTGAGTTATTTTTGATTCCATGGTGGTATTACAGACCAACTAAATAACCAGTGGAAAAACAAATTTGTTTTCTTCGAAAAGCACTTGTATTCTATTGTCAAGTAGAGGAATGATTGTGTTATTACATGACCTCATTTTCTTTGCAGCTTATGTGAGTATATTAAAAGCTAGTTTATTTTTTCTTTGTGTTTCTAAAGTTTTTTTTGCCTTTATCCTTTTTTTCTCTTTCACTTTTTTAGTGTCAGATTCCTCCTCCTCCTCCTCTCCTCTTTCAAGAACCGAATCTCCTCTCCACCTGTTTGTGTCTTCTCATCTTCATTCTCATCCCAAACCTGATACCTTTGTGTGGCCCCCTGCGGCTCATTCATTCAGTGACGCAGGTCCCCGCCGGGAACCCTCTCTCTGTAAACATGGTTTTTCCTTTCTTGTTAGACCTATTTCATTTGCCTGTTTTACTTTCTGATAATCTTCCTAACTGATAAGCTGGAGAGGAAACTTCATCAGACTTGCCAGAGAGAAATCTTGCTCATTTGAAAATCCAAAAGTTGTTTGGGGCTGAAGGAAACCTGAGATTCAGACATTAGAGCCCAAATTCCAGCCTCCTCTTTGAAAAGCAAAGGAGAGCTTCTGGGCAGGAAAGATGGAAGCTTTTCTAGAATATTGCCTCTAATTCTTGGGTCCTTCCTTGCTTTCCTGGAGTTTGATATAAATGCATAAAAATTAATCCTGTTAAAGAAAAGGCAAATTACAACATTTTGCAAGTAAGAATTTAATCCTTAAAACTCCTGTTTTCAGTTTAGAAATGAATTCAACCAGTGTGTAATCATCAAGCCTGTATTCTAAAGATTGTGGCCACAGCACTTTCAATATGTGATTCTCAGACTTTACTGTGTATTAAAATCACAGAGAACTTTTAAAGCAGCCGATCCCCTGGTCCCCACCCCCAACTTGATATTCACTGGGCCTGAGGTGGGGTCCGGGAATCTGGATTTATAAATTCCTCCCCTGTGAGTCCAATGCCTGTGGATTTTAGACCACATTTTGAGAAACAGTGCTATAAACTGTTTTCCATTTGCAATGACGGAAAATGTAGGGTTTATGTTGTGAAACTGTGCAGAAAAAATTGAACAGTATTTTAGTCTAATCATGCTTTTAAATAACACAGAAATTTTGAAAGTCAGCTTTAGGAAGTTCCAGAACCTGTCCATGAACAGCGACGACAACAAGAAAGATCCCTGTGTGAAAACAAACACTGGTTGGTAAAACTCTTAAATAGGACCTAAATCTGAATCTGACCCAGGTGGTCCATTCTTGTTTTCGTTCACTCATTTATTTAATGTTCACTGCCAGCACTGCCAGAAAATGTAATCTGTATATCTATGAATGATAAGAGCTCATCTTTGTTCCACATGCCCAGTTATATGCTGAACAAAAGCCCTTAAGGGGAAACTGCTGCCAGAAAGAACCGCTTTCTCTAATGTGCGCATCTTTCAGATGGCTCACCCGCTGTGTTCAGCTCACACACAGAAAGCCAGGGCAGAAATGAGATTTCCATTTAAAATAAACCATCCACGCTGAGAAATCCCCTGACCGTACTTATCTGCATATTAAGTGTTCTGAACTTTGCTTCCCTGGGAACGGCCCTTTTATGAAATGGAAGATGAAGATATTGTTTAAACACTGTGTATGTTGTTTTTAATGCACTTCTTAAAATAGACATTTTCCCTTAATACAATGCCTATCTGCAATTGCCAACTTCGATTTTTCCAGAAAAATTCTTTACGTTGACTTTTGTTGAGTTTATTGTCTTAAAATGGGATCTTCCCGTTCCAGAACAACATGGTATGTTCCCATGTCCCGTCCACTCTTTTCTGCACAACAGACCCACCTGCCAGTATCTTTCACATTGCATCCTGGGAGCCCTGTGCTCCTGTAAGCCTTTGAAGATTGACGTCCCAATTCTTCCAGTGAGGCACTTTGTGTCTGATTAATCAGTGACTTGCTGGGCTTTCTGCTCAATGGAGTATGTCCTGGGCAGGCTCAGTTGTTTATTCTTAATACGCCAAAGTCATCTTTCCATCCTCAGGGAGTGTCTAGCCAGTGACCAGGTATTTCAACTAAGACAGGAGCTCTCAAGAATCCACCCCCTCCCATAGAGTCAGCATTTAATTAGAAAAGAGAAAACATACTGATAAACATCGAATTTCTTTATTAAAATCGTAATGAATTTAAGTCCCAACTTTTCCGTTGGGACCTGAAGTTTTATGAATTTCTCCCTCCAACCCTTTGACTTCATAGAAAGGAAAACTAGCTGAACCCTATAAACCATTGGGATCATGATTAGGGTTAATGTGTGGAAAGACCTGAAACCTGCTCGTTTGATTATTTTTCCCTTCCCTTTGGAATGTGTTTTGTTTCCAGAGCAGGAAACAAAACACATTGCATGAATCGGTCAGCTTTCATGTGCTGGGTGAACATTTAAATGGATGGGGAATACCCAGTTGGCCTTTCTTTGGTTTAAAAAAAAATTGTTAGTGGAAAAACGTGTGTCACTCTTGAATGGAAATATGATTCTAGATAGCCAGACTTACAGTTGGAAGGTTATTGGAACTCCGTTCGCTTTTTCAGCCTTAATTTTGATTTTTCAAATGTTTCGTTTCTTGGTTTTAATTTTCGGTTTGATCTGTTGTTCCAAGGCAACCCTCCAGAAGCATACTTTCATGGTTTTCCTTCCCTTTTTTCAGTTAGTAAGTAGTTTACCAATCTATTAACCCTTCCGAGGGCCTCCAGAGTCACACTCCCCCCACCATGGAATGCGCATTGTGGTTGTTGAGTGCTGGGGATGCTGAGATGACGTGGACGTCCCTCTGCCACCTGCCTGCCCACTTCGCCACCTGGAGCCCGTCCCTCCTGAGATCCTAACGCTCTTCAGCGCAGCTTGGGTTTATATATAGGAGGCAGTATTGATCTGAGGACTACAAAAGAAGGCATTGCAGGGAAAAGGCCCGGCTCGGGGTGTGCAGTGCGTGGATGAGAAGCCCTCCTGGCACTGATTGGAAGCATGAGACGCCCTGCTTTCCCAAGGCAGGTGGTCAGTACATTTTAGGGAGAGAGAACCAGTTGGATCTTGACATTTCTGTAATTAATGCAATTATTATTGCTGCATAGGAAGCAATTCTAACTGTTAATTTTTCTAAAAATGAACAGACATCATAAAACTTAAAACTATATCCACCAAAATTGAAAGGAATTGCTTAATTCCTTGGATGGAGAATCAGTGCTTTTTTTTTTTTTTCTTTTTTCTTTTTGAGACAGGGTCTCATTCAGTAGGTCAGGATGGAGTAAAATAACACGATTACAGGTCACTGCAGCCTGGAACTCCAGGGCTCAAGCGATCCTCCCATGCTGGCCTCTTGAGCAGCTGGGACACCAGGCACTCGCCATCACACCCAGCTAATATTTTAATTTTTAGCAGAGAGGAGGCCTCACTATGTTGCCCAGGCTGGTTTCCAACTCCTGGGCTCAAGTGATCCTCCCCGCTCGGGCTTCCAGAGTGCTGGGATTACAGGCATGAGCCACCACGCCCACCCTATCAGTGCTTTTGGTGGTGTTTGTCATTCGTGAATTGTCACATTTTCCAAAGGATGTTTCTTAGAGCACTTTATCTCTTTGGTCAGATATATTTGGACAATACTCAATCTCCTGCCTAGTGCTTCCTGGTTCACCTTAATCACATTAAATATTCTGAGAAGTCCTGCACTTTAAAAAATTAAAGACTTTCTTGACTTTGTTTGACCCAGTGTTCCCAAGCTAACTTAATAGTTTTTTCCATCCTAGGAAATCAGTGTTCCATGGATTGCATTTGGGGAAATGCTGGTGGATATGGGGGTCCAGTGCATTTGAATGACCTGAGCCTTTAGCTTATGACAAATACTGGCCCCCACCCTTAAGAATTGATTCCACCCTCTGAAATCCAGCTCAGCCTAGATGTGCCTTTATTTCTGACCTAAAAACAGCCCATAATAGAAAAGAGGTATGTGTTGGTGTTGTCATCACACGTTAGGTGCTTCATTAAAGAGATTTCCCTGCCAGGTTCCTTGCACCATCAAGGGCCAGCTCTGGAGAGTCACCCCGGCAACTCACTGGGTCTCCCTCAGCCTTGTTTCCTCATCTGTAAAAATGTAAATTTCATAGTTATTCTATTTACACATGCCCTTATGGTCTGGCAGTCATGGATACTGGTTTTAAGGACCAGTCAGCTGCCTTCCCCCTGAGTTACATGCTGGGCAGCTAGGACCAGAAGAGTGGGGGTGGCTGAGCAGGATTTGAACAAGCCAGCAGGGCTGTCTGCAGGCTGACCGTCACTCCCTAGAGGACCCTGGGCGCTCTCATCCAGGTGCCCTAGCAGTTGTCTTTTTGGAGAAAAATCTGTGCGATGTTTTATTCCCCTCTCCAAGAATGCTCCAAAATCAAGATTACCGACTTGAGCTCTTGGCTCCCTTTTTCCTATCATTGATTGTAGTGAAGTTGCTGCTCTCTTTAGCAATAAGTCACCGGGAGAAGAGAGTAAACACATTAATGAAAGAACATATCTATAACAAGTCTGAGAAAGGAATTCAAGGGAGTAGTGACATTTTTCTCTTTCCATTATGACTAGCATTTTATTGAGTTGCGTTTTCTAACACTCAAGAATGTATATCATGATCAGGAAGTGACTAGTCAACGAGGTGGTTTATTTCAGTCTCTGTTCCTGCTTAATAGAATAAAGTAGCTTTAAAAGAAATCCCTGCATATATGGGACCCTCCCTCTGTGATGACCTACCATTTTTGAGGGGTGGTACTTTCTAAAATTCAGCCCTAATGTATAACCTTTTTCTGCTATTTTAATTAAACTAAAATTAATTTAATATAATTCTCGTTAATTAGTTCTGTAGCATCTTTCTTTAAACAAGATTGAGTGGAACGACAGGAGACTGACCGCTCAGCAGTAAGTGGCACTCAGGTCGAAGCTGGGGCGTGTGCATTCAGAATTAGAATATCCCAACCTGGGAGGCTTCCCCAGGACTCTGGCAGTCAAAGACACCTGGAGGCTCAGAGAGCCTTCCCCAGGCGGGAGGGCAGTTCTGTCTGGAGCCATGTCCTTATGAATATGCATCAGGGAGGGTTTAGGTGGAGATGGAAGCATCTGCCCAATGTAGTCCTCCAGAAGGTACTGTCTCTAGCCCAGAGCCACTGGTGGCAGCTCGCTCTGACAGCTGGCACCTTCCTGCATGTGTGTGAACGGCTTCCCTCCATGCTTTCTGTGTGACCGCCTGGCCCTGCCAACACCTGCCAGCAGCATGCTGAGCCAGCCCCGCATGCCCACCGGTGATGACATGTCCCCAGCTCTCCCTGCCCTACTGGGGTCCCTCCCTGAAGCTTCCCTGGAAAGAGCTTTCCCCTTCAGGAGAAGATATGTGCTGTCAGGTTTAAAGGGTGCTTGATAATCTGTTAAAGTCAATGGGAAACTGTGATCTCGTCTTGGGGCTGTGACTCTTAATCCTGTTTTCACTTGGTGAAAAAGGGAAGTGTCTGCTAGAATGGTGACCAAGGTGATTTATTTATCAGAGGAGCCCACAGCAGGAGCCCTCATGGTTGGTGGGACCGGGTGGGCAATGGCCCCGCCCCTGCTGTCACACTGGGGGACACATGGGGCAAAGGCCGTTCCCAGGGAAGCAGCAGATGGAAAGGAGAGCTGTGGCAGTGCTGTGCAAGGAGCCACCACCTGGAGTCACCTCCTCAGAAAGCAGGACTACCCTACAACAAAGATGGGAACTATCTTAACTCCTGGGTGCCAGGGGATGAGGGGACAGCAGTTATGTGTTTTAAAAAGGTATGGAGAAATATGGCTGCTTTGAGGGCCAAAGAGAGAGTGGACACTCACACCTCTTCCTCTGTCTTCAAGAAATAAGAGACAGCCATCACTAGCTCCCTCGCCTCCTCCCCGTCCTCAACCCCCAGGACATTCTGGTTCTTTGAGCACAGGTGACACACGGAGACAGAAGGGCACAGAGCTGCCAGCAGTCTGCAGTGTTGGACTGATTTATTTCCAAGCCCTATCTTGAGAAACAGAATGTTTTTTTCCTGCTAAAAAATGAAAATTTTAAGGCAAAGCTAGCTGACAGAATGCTGAGTCATTCAGATTGCTGCTTAATACTCAGGGTCTTGAAGAGATGGAGCTGCTGCTTTTTCTTAATTGTTTTGGGGGCACACCTTCCAAGAGCTGGAAGCTGAATAAGTTGACAGGTAATTCGGAATCACTTCAGGATCAAGGGAAAACAGGTACAGAGATACGGTAGCAGCAGGTGACTTCTGCGTGCCCACACTGCAGTGGCTCAGCTACTTGTCAGAAAAATGTGGGGAGGGAGGTGTCTGCCGCTGCAGCAGTAGGCAGAAAGAATGTGGGTGCCAAACAGAGATGGGGGTTGGGGTGCGGCCACGTGCCGTCCTCCCACGTTCACGCCCATGAGGCATGGCATGAGTTCTCCAGGGCTGGGAAGCAAGGAACTGCCCCGAATCCTGCCGGGCTCATGTGAGGTGGTCTGCTGACGTCTTTCTCTTAGTAGAGGATGTTTTCCACACATCACGTAATGTGACTGTCCATTGTCTCTGGCACTGGAATGCTTGCCAAGTCACCGGGTGGGCAGGATTCCATCTGAGATCCAGCTCATCTGTGTGCTGTGAGGAGAGAAGAGAAGGGAAGGGGTCCTTCAGACTGTAGCCACTTACCTGAGGCCGTCAGATAGTTAGATGGAGAGCTGGAATATAATATATGCTAGCTATTTGGCAACGCTGCATGTGAAAAATACAGTTATATAGCATAATTAAGCCACTTAATTTATCAGTTATGTCTTATTTTATTTTATGTATGTATGTACATATTTATGTATGTATTTTTTGAGATAGACTCTCACTCTGTCACCCAGGCTGGAGTGCAGTGGTGCCTTCTAGGCTCACTGCAACCTCCATCTCCTGGGTTCAAGCAGTTCTCCTGCCTCAGCATCCCAAGTAGCTGGGATTACAGGCACGTACCACCACACTCAGCTAATTTTTTAATATTTTTAGTAGAGACGGGGTTTCACTATGTTGGCCAGGCTGCTCTCGAACTCCTGACCTCAAGAGATCTGCCCATCTCAGCCTCCCAAAGTGCTAGGATTGCAGGCATGACCCACCACTCCCAGCCTGTGCCTTTTCTTAACAGGATTATTGGCTCTGAGATCCCTTTGGATGATGAACTTTGGTGGAATAGGACTCACGTGTAATTGCCACAGCTGAGGTCTTTATGAAATTCACCATAGGTGTCAATGTGCATTAGCAAAAGGACATTTTTTGGAAAAACTTCACCTGCAAGGGCAATTTGAGCTCACCCTCCCCAGTGTCCTACTTGTGGCAGGCAGGGTTTCTTAACAGCCTTCAGTGTATGATGGGAGTATAGGTGAGAAAACCCTAGGAGGGGTTCAGAGCTTGGGCTTGGTGCCCTGAGGTCAGTGGCCTTGGTTCCTCTTGGTTCCTGGTCCTCTTGGTCCATGGGGAAATGCCTTCCCACCACAGTTCTTGGATCCTCGGCTGCCTTTCCCCACACATGGTAATGGAGAGGGGAGCCCAGAAGGAAACCCTGGATATGGGGATCACAACGTTCTTCAAGTGGCACTTTGCCTCTGTATCAGGTGTCCAAGATAACAATTTCTGTTGAGGATCTAGGTGGGAGGACAAGGAAAGTTGCTGGCTTGAGGAAATGCTGATGGCCTCAGCTCCAGGACATCGCATGCCCCTGCACCGTTCAGGTTGTTAGACCAGCTTGATTTCAGAGCAAGCTCTCACCTGCCTGCATCAGCCCTTGGTACCTTGGGTCTTGCAGTGGCTTTTCAGAGCCCCTGTGTCCTGTGACTGAGTGGGAGAAGCACATTGTCTCCTAGACAGATCGTGGCAGCTGGGGTGCAGCACACAGCCCTGGGGGTTGGGGCAGTGGCAGGACCTCTTGAAGCCAGGTGGCAGATGAGCAATGTGCCACAGCCCAGGTGCTCTCCCTGGCTTACCTGTTGAACCTGATTATTTGGAAACTTATTTCTGCAGAGTCTTGGATTTGAAATTGGAAATATGTCCTAATTCTAACTTCTGATTCCTTTTTCAAGCCTCAGTTTGCCCATTTCTACCTTAATAGTGCTGTCATCTGTTATATAATGCGAGAACACATTTGCCATGGTGAAAAAGAAAGGGGTTCTTTAAAAATATGCTGGTTAGAGCCAGTGTTTCCAGCTGTTTACCTGCGTAAGTCAAAATCCAGTGTCTGTAAAGGCACTTACCATTTCAGTTCTATGAAACAATAAAATACAGTGTTTTTGTTGTTTTTGTCTGTTTGTTTTTTTGTTTTTGAGATAGAATCCACTCTTCGCCCAGGCTGCAGTGCAATGGCAATCTCCGCTCACTGCAACCTCTACATCCAGGCTTTAAGCAATTCTCCTGCCTCAGCCTTCTGAGTAGCTGTGATTACAGGCGCATGCCACCACATCCAGCTAATTTTTGTACTTTTAGTAGAGACAGGGTTTCACCGTGTTGATCAGGCTGGTCTCTAACTCCTGACCTCAGGTGATCCACCCGCCTTGACCTCCCAAAGTGTTGGGATTACAGGCTCGAGCCACCTGCCTGGTTTGTTTCTTAACCAGCTGTATCCATTCTGATTAAAGCGATGTTTATCCTTCCCCTCCCCCCAATACTAATTCAGTGAAAGACTTTTATTTGTTGTGTTATTTTCAGGAATAATAGATGTCAACTTACATAATTTCACTCTTGTTAGTCATCTGCTATTATCCTGCGAGTGCCCTGATATTCATCCCTGGTTCAGAACATGAAGGCTCTCTGCTTTTGTGAAATGTGTGTACCAAGAAATTGACTAGGAAGAAAAACATTATTTCTAATAAGCCTGTTATCCTTCTCTATACTTTAATTTTACATTAGAGAAGGGAAACGTCTGTGTTTAATTGGAACCATGTGTCACTGTCATTTTTAGTACGGATTGTTGGAAGTGATGAGACCACACTGCAGCGCCCCTTGAGTGGGTGAGGGTCCTGGCCTCTGAGCCATTGCTGTGGGGAAGAGTAGAGCACACAGACGTGCATCCAGAAGAGGGGACTGCCCTGTTCTGAATTTCAGACAGTGACGTGTCTATTGACAGCACTCCTTCATTCACTGCACACTCATTTACCTAATACCTAGTATGGGTCTGGTATTGTTAGTCCCTGGAAATGTCTAGACTGAGGACATAGTTCCTGTCTTCTAGACCCACATGGTCTAATAAGGGAGACAGTTACATTAACTTTAAAATATGTGGTCTGTGCATTGTTAGTGACAACCGCATAGAAGCACCAAGGAACAGAAGGTCTCACTTATTGTAGGGAGAAGCGGAAGGCTCACAGCAGCCTTCCTGTAGGAGGTGGCATCAGAGCTGAACTTAGAGGACTGATTTGGAATCAGACTAGTGTTCTGAGTTCTGGTTACAGATTAGTACACGTAAAGTGCAAGTTGCAGGGCCGGAAACACGGTATGTTCTCTGAAACTGACAATCCTCACTGCTGTCATCATCATTATCTGCCAGACCTTATTCATAGTAGAATATATTATGCTAGGAATTAATTTACTTGTGTTTAAATATCACAGAGAAGAAACATTGGCAGTAGTTCTGATTATTTATTTGTGGATCAAACAAAACAGTTAATCCAAAAAGCAAAATTAGCCCCTCCAAAAGTCACAAATTTTTGTAGCAAAAGGTTCACAGAACCTGGTAAAAAAAATATGCCATATTTCCAGAGCAATAATTTATTGTTGTTATTTTTTAATTAATAAGTGAACATTTTAAACATGTCTTTTTTATTTCTAATGTAAATATTAATAGATATAATTCATATAAACCATCTCATTAGGTCTTCAATGATTTTTTAGAGTCTGAAGAGATTCTGAGACCAAAAGGTCTGAGAACCCCTGTTCTAGAGAACAAGATCTTCTAGGAGCTCCGTTCCCCAGGTCACCCCTGAGCTGCAGGGAAGCAGGAGAGCTCAGGCCGCCTGGCCCATGTACAGGCTTTTTTTGACCAGAATTAGTAACACTTGCTTCCTGTCTCTCCAGGTGAGTGGTTCTCAGTCTTAGCTGCACATTGGAATCACCTGGGCTGATTAACAAAGGTGCCAGTCCTCACCCTTAGACTGAGTGATGTGGCTGGTTGGGATGGAGCTATGACATCATGAGTTTTTAAACCCCAAATGATTTTGATGTGAAGTTAAGGTTGAGAACCACTGTTCCAGCCAATGAGAAGGTAGCCAGCTTGGTAATGGCAGAACAGGGCAATGACAGCCTCTAGATTACTCGTTTAACTATGATTGCTACTAAAAATCTCAGGGAACCTACGTCAAGCCCTTGTTACCCAAGTTAACATATTACTTTCCATAAAAAGGTGACAAGAAATTTTGACAGCAGTTTAATCATTTTGCTATTTAGATTTTTAAAAAATAGTAGTTAGACATAGTTTTTCTGAACAAGGACAGATTCTTAGCCACAATTCCTAAGTTCTCCCATCATAATGCCATCAGTTAGACTCTTAGCCTCTGAGTTCTGTATTGTGCAGCAGGACTTGCTAGGCCTTTCCAGAGGCTGCTCTCCTCTTGGTCATCCTTGTGGGAACTGTTAGCCCACTCTGATTTCCATCCACCAAAGCCCCACCAAAGGATTCAGGTGCATTTAGAGGCATCCATGTCATCATTATATTGGAGCAATGAAAACATGATATGGATGACCCATCCATTGCTGTGAATACGCTTACAATTTATAAATGATGGGTGCACTCCAAAGCGCAACTGAAATTATTTTTATGTTCATAATTTTGTATTAGTGAGAATATAACTCCATTTATTTTATAGTCAGTATTTATCTTTATGTATAATTACTATTTTAAACTTTATGATGAGTTGGTAGTTACCACTCTCCATGTTGGAATGTTTCTCTCCATACTAAACTTTCTGAGGAAGTGCAGATTAAGAATGATGCAGTTGAATAGGAATATTAACACTTTCAAAATTGGAACAACTGAGCATCCTGCTCTCAATTCTGAAGCCATCCCTCCGAGAGTGAATGTTGGAAAGAGGTGGGAAGCAGGCCTCTGTTGAAGGAGGAAGTCTCTAATCATCAGGACCTCTGAGGGGTCAACGTGAAGAGAAATGAGTTTTGCATTTTGACTTGTGCACTGCATCTATCCCTTGACTAGTGAACGTGCTCAGTCGACCCCTCTCTTTAGCCTTTCAGGACAGCAGGTCTTACAGAATAATTAGGCAGGTGCATATTCTGAGCCCCAGGAGTCTTTGCTACAAACCCATCCCATTCCATCCCCTGCTAGTTTAGCATTAGCCTTAAGGAGCAACATCTGCTTATACACAGGGCACAAGTGTGCTGTTTCTGCAGTTTTTAAGTCAATACCCTAGAATATGGTTCTAAGCCGAGGGTATAGCCCACCTCCCCAAGGCCAGGCTTGAATGAAATGGGAATGGGAAGTTGCTGGGTTTGTCCTGAGAATGGCCAGCACATCTACTCCAAATGCTCCCCAGGAGGCAAGTCTACTCCTCCCCCCACCCCAATTTAGTTTCTAGGTTTAGGCCCTTACAGGGGTGTTTGTAATGCCCCTTTGTCATTTTCACACACTAGAATCATCACAGCTGTATATCTGGCTATCCCCGCCATTTCCCGGCACTCACACGGTGCAAGGCTGAGCTCCTGGAGGGGCACTTAGCATAGCATGTGCTCTGTTTGCTGAGAAAAAGATGAGCTAAAGCCAAAGGATGGGAACTAAGGCCCCAGGCCACGATTGCCCACATTTCTTTGTGGACAGTAAATCTTAGAAACATCCTGGGGGAAGGGGTGTGTGTGTTCAGCACTTGTCTGTGGGGAGGGGTGGGTTGGTTGGGTCTGTTGTTTCGCTCCTGATAGAGTCTTCTCAAAAACCTCTCGCAGGCTCGGTCCATGCCACATCGGTAGCAGCCTCAAGAGTGGAGCAGGCACTGTCAGAAGTGGCTTCGTCTCTGCAGAGCAGCGCCCCTAAGCAGGGCCCGCTACACCCCTGGATGACACTGGCACAGATCTGGCTCCACGCAGGTATCACTCTGCCCCTGCCCACCACCCACTGCTGTGCCAGAGCCTGGGCGCTTGCCTGTTTAGCCCACGCCTCTCATCAGGAGAGATCAAAGCTTCGGCAGTCATGCAGCGAAATGTTATTACTTCTTTGCCAGAACCACGAGTGACTCTGAATCCCCTGATCCCTCTCCCCTGCCTGGGCGCCCTGGCACAGAGCTGACATCCAGGAAAGTTTTCTGGATTTGACTCTAAGGATTCTTGGGGAGTTTGCCATGTGGGATACAGGGTTTGTGCTGTAGAGGGGCCAGAGGGCTGTGCCCCAGACTGTCTTTGTGAGGAGCCTGGAGTCGCAGCTGTACCAGCTGGGTAGGGCCTCAGTTTCCAGTTATGTGTGATGGGCTTAGGAATAGCACCTGTCTCCCAGGGTTGATGAGCGCAATGCCAGGCACATCTTGGCAGTGAAGTCTTGGAGTCCCTGAGAGAGGGCCAGGTGGTGTTAAAGACACAGATGTCTTTATAAAGCCAGGGAAGGGGCTGTGTGTTTGGTGCCCCTATGTGCCCTATGCTCCTCTGCCCCTCTCTGATGGCTCTCCTGTGATTTTATAGACAGCAGCAGCCTCTGACCTGAAGACTGACCTGGGAGACGGGCATGAGCACCCCTTCCCCAGTTCCTAGGGCACTCCACTGGCTCAGTGATGCTTCTGCATGACTAAAAAACCCGAAAATAAATGCAGTACACAGGCATTTTAATAACGAGAATCCCACTACACTGCGCTTCCAAGAAATGATGGCTGTGGATTTACTTACATATTTATATTTTGACATAAATGGTAATTCCACTCGTCAGGTCTCATCGCTTCATCTGTATAGCCTTCCTGGGCCTTCTCAGGCTTGACTCTTACAGTGCCTGGTGAAAGCCCGCATTTGGCTGAGAAGGGTGCTTATCATCCACCAACTGTCCTGTTGACTCGTTTTTTGCCAAGGCTAATCATGGGATGTCCCACCCTGTTTGACACCACTGGCAGGCCTTTGCTTTGGAAACATGGTTGGATTTACCTGGCCTTGGCATGCCACGGAGCCCAGTTCAGTCAGCCCTTTCTGTGTTGGCATCTTCAATTGAGCCATAAGAACTACCGTAAATTAACAAATTATATTCTTCTAAGCAGAAGGACAAAAGAGGGATGATTCATGAATTTGCAGTTGTTCTCTGCTGCAGACGCCTGCAGCATTCGGCCTCTTGCCCAGCGAGGTCCCAGACATGCTGGCTCTGAGGGCCAAGGAGTAGCAGTAGCGCCTCATCCACAGCTCCCTTACGCAAAGCCTAGGCCCTGGCAGAGGACTCTGATGCCTGTCCTAGTCAGTCACCCCCATGAGCAACGACTACAGAGAACAGAAGGGGAAGGAGTCCGGTTTAGTGCCCAAGTCAGGTAAACCTGAACTTGTGGGGCTGGTGTAGGGGCAGAGTTGCCTTTCAAATTGGTCTCAAAGTTGGGTTTTTGAAGCGTGAAGTCTAAAGTATGGAAGGGCTGAAGGCCATCCCCCTGGTGGAACTAGCTCCCCTGACCTTAAAGGTGGCACTTCTTTCGCTTGTTTTCGGGAGACGTAATGACCGGAGAGTCAACACATTCCAGGAGAGGTTCGCCTGGTGTCTTGCTGCCCCCACTCAGTTATCTAGAGACTTTGCCCCACTTTGTGTGGCCTGCCATGACTGTTGGGGAGGAAATTTTGTAGCTGATTATTGGAATATCGAAGAACTTGATGGCTAAGATTCAGCTTGGACCTATCCTTTTATTTTATTTTATATTTTATTTTTTGGGGGTGGCGGGGAATGGAGTCTCGCTCTTGTCACCCAGGCTGGAGTACAATGGTGCAATCTCGGCTTACTGCAGCCTCCACCTTCCGGGTCAAGTGATTCTCCTGCCTCGGCCTCCCAAGTAGCAGGGATTACAGGTGCCCACCACCATGCTTGGCTGATTTTTGTATTTTTAGTAGAGACAAGGTTTCGCCATACTGGCCAGGCTGGTCTCGAACTCCTGACCTCAGGTGATCCGCCTGCCTCAGCCTCCCAAAGTGCTGGGATTACAGGTGTGAGCCACTGTTCCCAGCCTGCTTGGAGCTGTCCTTGAATTTTTATATAATCACACAAGATCCATTTCTCATTGCATGGCCCATAGGACAGTCACGTTCTCCTTCCTAGCAAATGGGTGTAGCTTTACCATTCTAGAAGGTGGTAGAATTGAACTGTGGAAAGTGACTGTAGACCCTGAGCACCTGTATGCACCTGTATGCTGTATGCACGTGGTGAGCATTAGCATGTAGGACTAATGAATGGAGTCAATTAGGGTGCTTTTGGAATTTGTGCCATATTGACTCTTTCAAAGCAATGACTTTGCTTGAGTCAAGATTTAGAATCGTATCATATATCCACATAGTCCTTCAAGAGGAAAATTTAGAAGAAGACAGATAGTTTCCACTGCACTGCCAGGTTTTACCTTATGTGATTTGAGTCGCACTGCTCTGAGAGGAAAAATAAGCGTGACTCCGTTTTTTGGCAGTTCATAGAAACCAGGTAACATCTGCTTCCTGTGTCCATCATCAGCTCCCACAATACTGCCAGAGTCCATCCATTTTGTAGGCTTTAGAAGAAATTTAAGACACCCAAAGCCATGGTGTCTGTGTGGCCTTTGTGGGCCTGCTCTCTCCCGGTGGGTCTGAGCACAGTAGGAGCTCGTGATGGGAACCCACAGCGAGTGTGGACCCAGATTTGAGGCTTGCAGGAAAGGCCACTCGGAGACGACCTTGGATTTCCAGCCTATTGTAGCAGAGAGTCCCTAGGCCACTTGTCTGTGATGTGCACAGCAAGGAGACCGTGACTAGGACATCTGTGCCGCTAGCCACTTTGTAAGGGGACAGACCCAGGAAATGAGGGGTGCTTGCCCACAGCGGGTCCCATTTGCTGTGTGGTAGGGGCTCCCTTCCACAGGTTACATGGCACACAATTGAGAAGCCATGAAATGGAAAGGCTCCCTCCTATCCCTGAGCCTCAGTGCCCCTACCCCACCACAGGCAACCACTGTCCCCGGCCTTGTGCACCTTCCAGAAATCTCACGCACCGTGCTACCTGGTAGGTAGGTGCACATCAGCACCTGTAAGGTGACTTGTGCTTTGTAACAGCTAGAGTAGAAGGGTTTTTTTTTTTTTTT